GTCTATCATATAGTTTCTTATTCTGTAAGATTCTTTATAGCCTGCAGATCTTTCTCTGACTATTATACAGATACATCTTGCATCGTTTATACAGAAGAATTCTGATTGACTCTCAATCATTTCCATGAGATTCTTATGTGATTATTTCATAGATTCATTCTACATCTTTCAATCTGAAGAATTTTAGTTGATCTTCAATTATTTTTTCATAAGATTCTTATGTAATCATTACATAGATTCATTCTGCAGATCAATCACTTTCTGTGAGATTATCTCTATTAAAGAGAAGTATTCATGAGTTGATTCTTCACTCATTCTTATAAATCATTATTCTTTGATACTGTAGAATTGTGAGAAATTTTTTATTCTTTCATTAACTCTGTAGAATTGTAGAATCAAGATGTCTGCAGTCTGCAATCACTCTTTATAGTTATATAGAAAGATTCAGATCTGTAATTCATAATCACTCTTTATTTACTAGAGTGATCTGACTGTTTCACAGAATCACTCATAGTGTAAATAAATCTCTCTAAAGTAGTATAAATATCTCAGATCTGTCTGTAAAATCTTATCTTCTTTTTTCTTTTTCTATAACAGCTCTTATTCTTATAACTGTAAGTATTTTCATTCATCTGTAAAGTGTTTTCATTCAGATAATAGAGAGAGAGTGTTTCTGACAATATCTGAATATTAATTCAAGAACTTCTTATAAGGAGCCTACACTGAATAGATCAGTATTATATTGATAGATCTTATATAACAAAGAGAAAAATGTTAGAGAAGGAAAAGAAAGAGAAAGTGTGAGAATCAGTGATTGAAGTGAATATTTATACATGTATGTAATGATGTATGCAGTGAAGCTTTGAGGTGGAAGAATCTATATACATTTGTAGTAACTGAGAATTGGTGATTGAGAATGGCTAAGAATTGAAGTGTATGTATTTGAGAATGAAGCAGTTGAAATCTGTGAAGTGTAACAGAATAGTCAATATGATTGATCAGGCGCAGCTCATCACATTAGTGTCTCTCTTTCAGATGTAGTTCTCATCAGTCAAGAGCTGCTGTTTCAGATAATGCAGAACTTGAAGTTCAGATTGATTAATCATAGCTGACTCATTTTATGAGATATTGTCAGCTGCAGCTGCGGGATCTCTCATTGAGAATATTCTCAATCTCTCACTCAAGCTCATTATCTTCTTCTATGATGCCTGGCAGCTGTCAGTCAGAAGTCAGTTGAGAAGAGAACAGATCAGTGACAGCACAGCAGAGTAAGCTTGTATGAAAGACATCATGAATCTCTGATAATATGTCAAGACAGTAGTTATGACTATCTAGAACTTCTATCACTTTATACTTGATATGATGATAATTCAGTGTATGAGATCAATGTATGATCTGTATATTCTTAAGATTCAATCACATCAAGTCTTCTATCTTATATTATTCAGTGAGATCTCAGTGAACATTGATTTGATTCTCTTAATCTTGTTTTACAGTTGTTATGAAGACCTCTGCTCAGTCATGAGTATCTCAGAGCTTTATTACTATATTGTCAGTGATCTGAATCAGACTGTGAGAGTTTGATGTGAACTGTGTAATCTCTAGAAGATTCAAGACTTTCATGTAATAACTGTGTGTAAGAAAGAACAGGCTTACATCTGTTGAAACAGCATCTCATTCATTGATAGTGATCTCTGCATGTAGAAGCAGGTCATACTAATCATCTTATAAGTGATTACAGAACTTGTGAAGATAATTCTTTACAGTCTGAATTATCTGTTCTGATGTATCATCAGTCTCAGAGTGATAGACAGTTGACAGACAGTATATAATCTTAAGAACTTGACAGATTCTTATTCAGAGAGTACTTATAAATTAACAGCTCTAATCTGATACTATGAATCTTAGTAATTCATACATCTGATAGAATGAGCTCTGTAGAAAAGCTTCAGCAACTTATTCAGTATTCATCTTATTACAAGATATCAATATTATATCTTTACTCAATCAGTTCATGATGATCAGAACATTTCTATAACTCTTACTCTCAGAGAGATCAATAGTAAAGTTAATTATCACATCTTATCAGATTCTATCAGAGATATTGAGTGATTTCAGTAGATCTTTTCTACAGTTCTTTCATAAGATGATGAAAGAATAACAGTTACAGTTTTAAATGAAATATCTGATACTGTTTAATATCTCAGACTAGTAGAACTCTTAAGAGATCATTCAATATAATTCTTTATAATCTGAGTGATTAGTTATATATAAATCATGCATCTCTTGCATTATCTAAGTATATAAGAGTTCAGAGTAGAGGACTCAACATTGTTCACAGAACTGCAGAGTGTTATTATTATTAATTGATTATTCTAAGATATTGATTCTTATACATAGTTCTGAGAGAAATCAGAGTGCTTCTTAATATACTGCTTCAGTGAGCACTTGAAGAAGTTCATCTGTTTGAGCTGTTATATGTTATAATTCACTCAGTGTAGATTCAGAAGAAGTCAAGATATCAGTATCAGTGACAGTTCAGAGAGAGAGTGTTCTAATTGAAGAAGTGTGTATAGTGTCATGAGTTGTTCTATCTTGATCAATCAATATCTTCAGATCTAAGAGCTGATGTTCTGAGTTCATTCAGTGTGTGTCTGTTATATCAGACAGTATATCTTGTTCTTGTCATGAGAGAGCATCTGTCATTGAGTTCTGACTGCTGAGACAGTAGTGTATTGTAAAATGAAAGCAGCTTAGAAATTCAGATTATTACATCTATCATTCAGTGAGTTTACAGGTGATTATCAAGTACTTCAGATTCTTATAATCTGTGATTATCTCAAATTCAGAGACACTTCAGAGTTCAGAGTCTTATTCTTCTAGACTATATACAATCACAAGAAGTTTCTTATTATAGATCTCATAATTGCATTTGATAAGACTCAGTTTCTTAGATATAAAGACACATGATTGTAGAATATCTTTATTATTATATTGTAATATTACTTCTTCTATTACATAGTCAGAGAAATCAGCTTCAATAACTGTTTCATAATCAGAGTCAAATGTTATTAGCAGAGATATATTGATCAATATCTTCTTTATCTGTGTGAATGCAGCTTCAGTGTTCACTGATCACTGAAATACTGAGTTCTTCTTGATGAGTTCTGTAAGTGATCTCATAATATCTGAGAAGTTTCATATAAATCACTGATAGAAGTTAGCAAATTCAATGAAGCTTCATACATCTTTCACAGTATACAGAGCTTTTCATTCAAGAATGATAGAGACTTTCTCAGAATTTATTCAAATCCTCTTATCAGCTTCTATAATAAAACCCAGATATTTGATACTCTTGACTTCAAAATCACACTTATTAATATCAATTAATAGTTCTGCTTCTCATAGTTATTGTAATACTTTTCATACATGCTGTTAATATTTCTTTCTGAATTCATCAGTGAAGATGAGAATATCATCTAGATAAGTAAATAGAAATTTATCAAGAAAGTCTCAGAGTGTCTAGTTAATATACTTCTGAAATGTACTGAGGGCATTGATCAGTCTAAAGAGTGTAACTACTCATTCAAAGAGATCATATTATGTTTAGAACACTGTAAGTCACTCATCTTCTTCAGTGATATGAATCTTATGAAATGCAGTGATGATATTTAACTTTATAAACTATTGAGCTTATTCAATACAAGCTAGAGTTTCATTAATAAGAGATAAAGAATAACAGTTCTTCTTTATTAATCTATTCAATTCTCAATAATTCACACAGAATTGAAGTCCTTTATCTGATTTCTTTACAAAGAGAATAGAGGCTGCAGTGAAAGAGTTACTAATATATATGAATTCTTTATTCAACAGATCATTGAGTGTCTTTCAAAGAAGAAGAACTTCATCTCAGAACATGTTATAAAGAGAATTTCATGATGATTCAGAGTTCTTACTGTTCTTCTTTTTTAACTTAATACTGTAATTCACTTCTGAACCTTGTAAGAGAGGTAGATCTGTAGCATTATTATCTTGTCAGAAGATATCTAGATATTCATGATATTATTAAGAGAGTTTTGTATGAGAATCTGTTATTGTAATACAGAATAACTTTGCTAGAGCCTTTTTAATATTGATCAGACTGATGAAATAGATTAATATATAATTCTGCTATTAATGATCTTATCAGTGACTCTGTCAGTGATTTTGATAATGACTTCTTTTTCACAGTATTTCATAAGTGTTGGCAGAGATCTGTGTAAGATTAATAGTCTTGTGAATATCATCTTCATCAATTCTATTATTGTTAGAGAATATCAAGCTTCTGTTTCAAGCATTTAATAAGATGCCTTATTCAGATAGCCAGGTAAGTTCTAACATAAGATTATAATTGAGATTATTAACCTCATATGCATAGACATCTTCATGTTGATATTCTCTCACATCTATGTTTAGTTTCATCATGTAATGAATATAAATATCTTTTAGATCATTAAATTCTGTGAGAAGTTGAGATTTTGATAAGAGAATACACTGAAGATTATAATATCTTATGACTGAAGATTTTATCATTGCATAGTAGTATAGATCACTGTCTATCATGACTTTCATATTATACATGTTATTAATTACAGTAGATATAAGAATCATATTCATTATTATTTTCTCTTCAAATCACTATTATCTGATCTCTTCAAGCTTCTGTTTATGAATTTGAACAGAAGCTAATCTTTTCCCTGTTTCACTGAGACATTCTCATAGTTATCTTCTGAATCTTTCTCTAATGTAATGTGATTGGCACGGACAGATGCTGATTTATTCTTCAAATGAGAAGGTATATAGACTGATCAGCAGTTGAAAGCAATATACTCTGATCAGTTACAGTTAATGCATACTTCTCATTGACATTGATTAGTGACTTCTTCAGAAGTGATCTCAGAAACTCAGAAGCCTGTCCAAATGACAGAGACTCTTGCTTATATATAAATATTCAAGTCTACTTAATTTATAACATCTGCATCATTGTTATTCTTCAGTACAGATGTATAAGTGACTGAGATGTAACATCTTCTATCACTGTTCTGTATACTCTTCAGCTTGATAAGATGATTCTTCAATGTCTGAAGCTGTGTGCAGAAATCTTCATAAGTTGAGTCTTCATTTACACTTATAAGAGTCTGTAAGAGTTCAAAAGTTAATGTCTTCTTGAGCATGCTAATCTTCATTTAATTCTCTTAAGATTAATTATTCACTTCTAAGATCTTGATATTAAAGTCAGACATGAATGTTGTAACAGAAATGTTTCTCTGTTAGATACTCTATAATCAATCTAATGCTTTCTGTTGCATGGCAGTGATTAGAACAGAATATCAAGATATTTAATAATATTATCAGGTGTTTGCAATACTGATTCACATGCTTTCATTCATGAGTGAAATTTCTGTTTCACATGATTCTTCAATCATTCATTGATATATCAATCTTAATTGATTAATAAACTGATGATATCTTGATCTATACTCAGTTTCATGAGGATTTTCATTCTTCATGATGAGTAGAGAGTGAGATCAGAAGCATTAAAATATGTGAGAGTATCTAAGCATTCTTTCAGCACTTTTATATTCAATTCTATAGATGTTGAAATTGCATGAGTTAATCATTGAATCTCTTCATATTGAAGTTGTTGAGTCATGTGCATGTCTGCTATCTATTGCTGTTATAATTTCAACATTGCTTGAAGTCACTGTGATATCACTTCTATACTCATACTCAAGAATTCTCTCATATTGTTGTTAGACATATCATTCATTGAATGTATGATATCTGTGAAATCTTGAAGAAGTGTAATTGTATGAATATCTTATATATCTGAGTGTCAGAACTCTCAGGTCTTTCACTGACATTCTCTTGTAAGATCTTATTACAGAGTCAGAGTGACTGATGAGCAAGCTTTTATCTGAGAACTCAGTGTTCACTTAACTGTTTGACTGTTTCTCTATTTCTTATGTGTTGTTATATGTTTGAATATCTCTCAATGAATAATCATTTCTAATGAGAAGATGATATGTGAATAATCATTTTCTAATAAGAAGATAATGAACATTTTTCTAGTGTAAGAGGTCTATGCTGAATAGATCAGTATTATATTAATAGATCTTATATAATAAAGAGAAAAATATTAGAGAAGAAAAAGAAAGAGAAAGTGTGAGAATCAGTGATTGAAGTGGATATTTATACACATATGTGGTAGTGTATGGAGTGGAGCTTCGGGGCGGAAGAATCTATACACGTTCGTGGTGGCCGAGGATCAGTGATCGAGAATGGCCGAGAATCGGAGTGTACGCGTTCAAGAATGGAGCGGTTGGAATCTGTGGAGTGTAACGGAATAGTCTATATGATTGATCGGGCGCAGCCCGCCACACTTCTTAAGAATAAAATTTTTTTTAATTTCAATATCTTTATAAACAATGTCTGATCACTGCTGAGCTTTTTATAAGCATTCTTATAACTTCTCTGATTACTTTTTACTAGCTGATAAAGCAGAAATATCATTACTTATAATAGTATCTTCACTCTTCTTAGCTCTGTCACTGTACTCAATCTTCAGACAAGTGATTAATTTTATATCTCTCTCAGATCAGTCTCTGACTTTAAGTAGTACAGTCTCACTCTTTACTGTAAGTCTCTCTGTAAGTAATTTCTTACAGACTTTAGCTAACAGTTTCTATAAAGTCTCTGATGCTGTCAGTGCTCTCTATAGTCTTATAAATCTATGATCACTCTCTCTCTACTTACATAATCTTTGATCAGATGTATACAAAGATATCTAGATTCTCTATTAATGATTCTCACACTGTGATACATTTCTGCAATCTTATTATCAATGAGAGATGAGTTCTCAGATACTTATAAAATTCAGGTAATTAAGATAATATAAATATTATAAATTCATAATAAGAGTTAATCTGAGTAGATAATCTCTCTCTTCATATCTCAATTATTTTCAGACTGAATACTTCAGTATAACTGAGAGAGTAGATATAGCTTTGTAAGAGATATCTGAGTATATATATAGATAATCAGCTCTCAAGACTCTGCTGTAACTGTATATACTCTGATATCTAACTTCTCTGAAGTCTGTGCATTTCTGATAATCTTCATATCAAATATAATAATTATCTGTACTGTAAGTATAATACTCTCTGCTTCTTTGAAGAAGAGAATTGATAGTTGTGAAGAGAGTAAGTGTTATAAGTATTAAGAATATAAGTATGAGTTTTCTTTATTTTTTCTTTATTAATCTTTAAATTGTGTTCACAGCTCTGTTTTTATTTTCTTGATTTTTTAACTTTAATAAGAATATGATTTCTTCTTCTCTTTATATATACTGCAGACTGTTCATCTCAGTAGAAACTCATCATCTTATAGACTAGAGTTTATAAATAACAGTGTTAATATCTTTATTATAATCAGGTTCTTAGTGAAGATCATGTCATTCTGACTTATCAGAATTCACAGTATAAAAGTCATATCTCAGCTTTCACAGATATCTTATCTGTCTGAATAATTCTTAAGTGAACTTATTTATCTTATTAGAATATTCTTATCACTGAACCTTGAATCAGAGTTTATAATCTCATTTCTCTGAGTTAATAATTTCTTTAATCTGATATTCTCTTTTACTCTCTAGTACTTTATAAACAGAGTGATGAGTCACAGAGTTCTCTTCTAAGAATTTCTTATATTTATAAAGTAAAGAGAGATGAAAAATATTATATATCTATAACTCACATAATAGTTTCAATCTATAAAACTATAAACTAACTTTCTTTATAATCTTATAAAACTCTGTTTATAAGAGATTCAGTTTCTTACTAGATCTCTGTATAATAATATTTTTTAAACTTAGTCAGACTCTATCATCTTTCTTAAAACTTTTTATAATATACTTAAAGTTATAGTATCTCTTCTAATACTCTTAAGTCTTTCTCAAGAATTCACAGACTTTCTTCTGAATATTCTGAATTCTCTCAGCTTATTCACAGATTATATGACACTCTATAGTATACTCTTATAAGTTTATCAAGATCATCTGCAGATAAGTCTCAGTGAGTATCTCAAAGAAGATTTTATCTATACTAGCATGCTTTGAGTTATTGAATATAAACTCTGTAAGTGATAATCAATGCACTCAGTTATTCTGATTGTAATTAACAAAGCACTGCAGATACTGTTTTAATATACTTATCAGATATTCTATCTAATTATCTGTCTGTTAATGAAAAGCTGTGCTTAGATCTTATAAGATCTTTAGTATAATTATCAGATTAAATCAGAACTTCTCTATAAAGATTAATTCTCTATCTGAGATAATATTCACAGATAATTTATATAATCAGATTATATTATAGATGAAGATATAATTCAAATTCTTTAACTTTAAGTTCTTGTAAGTGAGTATAAAGTATATTATCTTGATAAAGTAATCTACTATCATTAGCACACTGTTAAAGCAGGTATTATATATATTCTTACTTTCAGAAAGACTTATAAGAGTGTTTATTTCTAACTGTTTTCAAGGTTTCTGTAAAATGAGTAAAGAAGTAAGTTCTTTATATTATTTAGCACTGCACTATCTGTGAACTCTGATAAATAGTATAAGAATTCACTATCTTCTTCACAAGTTCTTGTATCTTCAGTCAGAACTATTTTCTTATAAGTAACTTATAAGTTCTAGTATCTATAAAATGATCTGCTAGAGAGAACTTATGATATCTTTTAATAAGTTCTACTTATAGAAACTCATTTATAGATATATAAATTCAGCTCTCTCTTTATAAGAGACTATTTAAGTTTCTTCAATTCTTTATTTCTGCAGAATTGATTTCTGCTGTGAGCAGTTTTTAAATATACTGAGTATATTTATTTCTCAGTTACAGTTCAGACAATCTGAACAGAAGATCTTATAAAGACTTATACTCTGTTTCTTATTATATCAAGTCTTTTATAATACTTCTCAAAGCTTATAAATTCTTCAGATTATAGATACTCTCTTCAAGAATTCTCATAGAGATTCTCAGAGTATTAACTCTCAGTATTATAGAGAGTAGTTATATAGACTTCTTCTCTTTCTTCTTTCTCTTCTCTTATAAGAGATTAAGAGACTCTTCAGTTAATCTCTTTATAACACTCAGTTTAAGTATTCTGTAAAACTTTTCTATCTTCTCTAGTCTCTCTATATCTGTTATTCTAGTCTTCTTAACATAGTCAGATCTGTGAGAGAGTAAATCTACTGAGTTCTCAGTTTTCTTAATATACTCTATCTTGAATCAGAACTTACTTAGTCTCTGAGCTCAGTAGATCTACTACTATGAGAGTTTCTTAATTGAAGTAAACTGTTCTAAGCTGTTATAATTAGTTCTAATAGTAATTACTATTATAAGACTCTCAAAGTAATGATATCAGTGACAGAAGAATTTTACTATTATAAGAAGCTTCTAATCATGAATATTATAGTTAATCTCTATAGATTGCATCATTTGTAAGAAAAAGATTACTGAAACTCAGTTTTCATTTAACTGTAGTTATAAAACTATTTCTGAAATTATAAAGAAGAAGATATCTATCTTCAATCTGATTAAGAGTAAGAAATTAAAGTGAAACAGTATTACTGTATTTATGAATATCTATTTTAATTTTATAAAGATCTTATAAGCTTCTGAGATAAGAAAGTTCTTACAGTTCTCTCTTCTTAATAATCTTTCATTCTTTATTTATAGAATGACTTCTTCTTATTTTCACTCTTCAGTATGTCTATAAGAGTCAAGAAGATTCTTATAAATACAAAGATAAACTATCTATAGAAATTCATAAAGCTCAGAAAGATCTGAATCTCATAAATACTAGTTAGCTCTGATTATAATAGAATAGTCTTAATCTATAAGAGTTTTATCTGAATATTATCTACAGTGATTATATATTCTAGAAAATTAATTTAACAGATACTGAAGTTGCACTTTACAAGCTTAATATACAGATCTGCCTCATCTAAGATTCTTAACATACTTTATATATACTCAGTGTGTTCTTTCTTCTTCACAGAGTACATTATCACATTATTTAGATATATTATTATAAAGACATTCAGATATATATGAAGTATTTTATTAATGAAAGACTGAAATACTGTAGAGATATTAGTTAAATTAAAAGACATTACTAAATATTTAAATAATCTCAGTGTAGTTCTAAAGACAGTCATTCATTTTCAGACTGTATTCAC